AAGCACGCAGGGAGTCCTGGAGAACCTACCGATGAGCCGAACCCCTCGCAGCTGTGCCATGCAGCGGCAGAATATCGGCGAAACAGGCGTGCCTGGGCTTTCAAGTAGTACCTCTGCTGCTGGTAAGGTATCCTGCGACCCACGTAGCTATTTATTTGCTTTCATCAAATGCCCTTCGCTGAGGGTTAATTCCCAACAGACACCCATTTTGAAGGTCAATCTGACGAAAGAGTTGACTTAGGCGTTTCAAATGGGCTGTTTGTCTGGGTTTACGGTTATTCAGAGATATTAGGTAAGCGGATTTGCATAATTCATGTGGTTTTCATTTCGATTTTTGAACAGGGACTGCTTCCAGGTAATAAAAAATGTCAAAACATATAATGATTGACAAGTAGACAGACCTTTCATATTTATTTTATAAAGTTTGGTTGGTGCGTAAACACTAAGGTCTTCGCCACAACGGAGATGGGGAAATTTTGTGCTAAAAAGAAGCCTTTACGACAAGCATGGCTTTTCGTTATAACTTAAAAAGGACTCCCGAAATTTATTGTTTAGTTATGAAAACTTGTGATGAATATGCTCTCTCTCTCTCTCAGGGAGTTTGCAACCGAAGATAAGAAATTTTTAATAAAATTTGAAGATGAAGAGTTCGAAAAGCTAGTTGATCACACACACACACCATGCCAAACGCTTGAAGAAAAGGCAGAGGTACCGGGAAGTTGGTAGGTCTACTGTTGCAACTGTTTTACTGCAGTGGTAAGGGTTCAAAAACAAGAAAACTTAGGTGTCGCATGAACTGACTGAAATCCACGTTTACGATATTGCTTTCAAGGCATTTATTTGTGCGTCGAATCATGACCCTAGGCAGATCTGTTACGATAATATAAAACGTGCAGAAACCTGGGCGACGCCTGGTCAATCTTCAACCTCAAGGCCAAAACAGAATATTCATGGAAGTAAAGTTATGCCGTGTATATGGTGGAATGTGAGTTGTCAAAGCCACCTGAAACTGTTACTGTTGTGCGATTTTAACAGTGATTAATTGTAGCTTTTAATTTTCACAGAAATTAATGCCTCACTTGGATTAAATCAGTCAATTTGGAACTAACCGACTCAGACATAATTTTGATATGAATATTTGGGCCGAAGTTCATCAGCCACTGCAGAATAACCGCGTTATATTCATAAACTACCAACAGGCAGCCAGCGGTACGTACTGATATAGCGCGATATACCACACTTGAAAGCATAGACATTACTTGAAAGTCCAGAAACGCTTGCTTCGCCGATAGTTGGCCGCTTCACGGCGCAGCTGCAAGGGGTTCGGCTCATCACTGGGTCCCCGCTTTCTGGTAGATGCTCCGGTCCCCAGAGATTGCAGCTCTTTAATTTCCTTAAATGAGCTGAACTTCTCGCAGTTGAACTCTGCAACGGCACAATACCGGCGATGTACGTGTCTGGGCTTTTACCTAGTACCAGTGATGTCAACTATGGTATACTGTGCTACCTTACAGGAATCTACCTTTGCAAGTTTTGCTCTGATTACAAAAAGGTCAGAACATGATGACAGACATGGTGATTTTGCATCAGACGAATGAGACAAGGAAACCTTGGAAGTCCGGGGTTCGGAAGTTCTGCTCCAAGCACGGTATTCACCAGATTATCATTTGTTGCATCGGCCCCGCCGATGCAACATGGCCTTGTTGGTCTGTGCTGCAGTTCCTTAG